ATAAAGTGTCACATCCATAGCCTTGATCTGAGCTAATTTCAGACCCTGAACTCAGCTGGAGTGGAGGGCAGTACCCCAGGAAAAGGACACTGCAACTCCAGGACCCAAATAAATGATTATGATTTCCCAAGTTCTCCCCCTAGGAAACCTCTGGAGCCATTTACTGGATACCCATATACTAGGGAAATACAAACACCCAAATATTTCAAGGACTCTTGGAATCTGGATCCAAGTTGCCCATGGTACCCAGATCATGGAAAGTCATCATAAAATACCTGTTAAAATAGGAAATTAGGGCCTCCAGGTTATAAATGTAGTCTTGGCCCACATGAACTTATTGCAATACAGTATTTGTTTCAATTAAAAGCTAAGGTTTGTTTGAAGACAGATACCTTGCTTATTTTTCTGTCCATCCCCTTGGGAGTATGTTGAGGCATAGGATGTGCTAAATAAGCTTCTTTTATAAAAACAATAGGATGATGCATGCATGATTATTTTCAATTGACAAAATCTCATGAACTTCCCAGAGATCAGTGGTAAAAAGTTGTTTGAATTCTCGACACCAGGTTAAGGTCTCTGAGGTGGTTTAAAGGCTATGAGGCCAGCTGCAGTGGCTCATGCCTATAATCTCAGCAACTTGGGAGGCTGAAGCAGGCAGATCACTTGAGGTCAGGAGTTTGAGACCAGCCTGGCCAACAAGGTGAAACCCTGTCTCTACTAAAAATACAAAAATTAACCAAGTGTGGTGGCACATGCCTGTAATCCCAGCTATATAGGAGGCTGAGGCAGGAGAATCATTTGAACCTGGGAGGCAGAGGTTGCTGTGAGCTGAGATTGTGCCATTGCACTCCAGCCCGTGCAACAGAGCCTGGGTGACAGAGTGAGGCTCTGTCTCAAAAACTAAACTAATATAAACTAAAATAAAAGCTATGAGAAGAAAAGAAATTTTCCTGGTACAGTGTTGTTCTCTAGACCTCATGTATTACAGTCTCTGTGAAACTGGGCCAAAGATGGAATTTCGTTTTCTGTGCTTTATGCAGTGACTCAGACAAATCTATGACCTCACACAAATCTGTAACTTCATGTATCACAGTCTCTATAAAAACTGTATCAAAGAAAGAATTTTTCTCTGTGCTTTATAGAGTGATTCATCCAGATCTGTAAAGAAATGAAAACAATTTTAGAGCTTTCAATATCCAGTATTTCATATCAGGTTAAATCTGATACTTTCAAAACTGGAGAAATCTATTTCGGATAGCTTTGATGCTTATAATAAGAATCTTATTGAATGTTATCTAAGGGCTATAGTTCAAGAAGACTAAGACACTATTCAGTCGGGGCACAATAAGAACACCTTATAAGCACCACTCATCCTTCCTTTTCTGAGCATGCTTTTGACATGTTTCAATGATTCAGAGACATTCTAGTGAATCCCATTTTGACAGCAAAGTGGGATCAAGAGACCCCAAGGCCATCTTCAGGATCAATGACTCTTTAGAAGACATGGAACTCAGAGATACGTCCCATCAGTACCTAATTTACTGAGAGTTTTTAGCATGAAGGCTGTTGAATTTTGTCAAAGGCCATTTCTGCATCTATTGAGATAATCAGGTGGTTTTTGTCTTCGGTTCTGTTTATGCTGGATTACATTTATTGATTTGCGTATATTGAACTAGCCTTGCATCCCAAGGATGAAGCCCACTTGATCATGGTGGATAAGTTTCATGATGTGCTGCTGGATTCACTTTGCCAGTATTTTA